AATGGCAAATTCCTGATGCCTTTGGCTTAGATTAAAGAAGTGGGTTAGTGCTATAAGTCAATAAATCAGTCGATTCGAACAGTTTGACCTGAGCTGATAGGAATATTGTATTTTGCATAGCGACACATGTGTTACCTCTATCCGACTTTCTACTGGCATGGTCAATGAACAGGAAGTGTTTGCCATACTCCTAACATACACTGAGTATTTTCACTGTCTTCCTTCCCTGTTGTTGGACCGATAACAACCAGCCTTGGTGTACCTAGGTCGCATCAGAATTTTTTTCCGATAGGTATAGGGCCAAAAGTATTCTGGATGTAGTGTTCTCACATAAACAAGAAACGGGAGTAGAGTCGCTTTCCCACTCTGATTTGAACAATAAAGCAGCGTTAATTAGATTACTGGCGTAGTTGTCTACAACTACCACTGAACGAGGATTATGTAAGTAGTAGGTGGTTTGGGGTCCGATATCCTTAGAGAATTTTATTTTCGTTGTACTAACAGCAAGGTGAACCAACAAGAAGCTATTTATACATTGGTTATTCTAATTTCCTCCCCTGGTGTCGCCAGATAAATTGGTGTAACAACTAGTCTGTCAACCACCGCTAGTGCCCTTCATTTGCCATAAATACATGCACCGTTAAGCCAGTATGCTTTCCCAGTGCGGGGAATTGATTTTTATTCACCCAGTGGGGCTTTTCTGGCACAATGCTTTGTTTTATTGTTTCTTTGCTTGTTCTGGTTGAGATATAGAGTGAAGCTACTCTGTCAGTGACTATCTACATTGTCCGGTGACGTTTGGAAAGCACTTAACTGTTTTCCGTGTACAATTGCCATGACTACGTCAGTGAAGCTTGGATGTAACAATTTGAGCCATTAAGCGTCTGTTGCTAGATAGCTTATCAGATGCTTGTTTGCAGGTAATGAAATGTATATGAATGCTAAAGCAATATCGAGACAGCTTTGATAGCCTCAGCAAACCTTGAGATGAAGCCCCTGGGTGCTCACGTTGGGTTGCTGATTCGTTCCCTCCCCCTGCTGAAGGATGTCTTCCAAATTGATCTGTGACAAGAAAGAACATATTCCCCGTGGAAATAAAGACCGCCAATTACAAGAGCTTCATCTAAGAACAATTCTTGGAATGACTGACTAACCCTCGTAAGAATTCCCTGGTTCCTAATGAGACACAAAATGTTTCGCACACAAGGGAGTGCTATAGAGAAAAAATCACATTTTTGAGGATTAAAACCGAAAAAATTGATTTTGAACTTTCAAACCGTCTGCTGGATATGAGAACCTGAGAATTGTCAGGATCAAATCAAGCAAAGAAAATTTTCTGCCACATATGATGGAGATGAAATTCCGGTACAGCAGTCTAGTTATCCTACTGTAGTTTCAAAAAGGAAACTACTCGTAGGGTTTTCAATACAGGCTTCATTTTGCCAGTCTGCGCTAAAAGGTTGAGGCACTGTACAGCTGTTTCATTCTTATTTGGAATCATCAACGGTGCACATCTCACCGAACCCGGAGAGTTTTGAAGCCGCGTTAAGTCCTTGAATGCCTAACCATTTGGTTGCAAGCAGCTGATCAGCAGTATGATTTTATGGGGTCGGGGTTTCGAAACTCTCCGAGGTTTCGTGAGATACACACTGTTGATGATTCCTAACAAGGATGGGACTGCTGTGTAGTGCTTCTCGGCTTTTCAACATGCAATGGCTTTGTTGATGCAATCAAAGCTATAATGAAAATGGCAAACTCTGCTCACACCTCCATTGTTTATAAGGTTGCTTTTTGAGAAGTATGTATATTATATC